TCTTCTCTTCTCTTCTCTTCTCTTCCCTTCCCTTCTCTTCCTTTCTCTTCCTTTCTCTTCTCTTCTCTTTCCTTATTACTTGTCTCATAGTAATGTTATGTTTCATCACTTTTGATTTAATCAATTATTATAATAATTTGCTCGTTGTCCATACTTTATTAACTTTTTCTTTCTTTTTTCTTTCCACAGTGAATTATTTATGGATCATGTTATTGGTTATTTATTTATTGAATTATGTATTTTTTTAGATTTGAGTTATTACTGACAAAGCACATTTTTTTACTCAAATACACAATGAATATAATAATTGCACATATGCACCTTATAGCCTCCTCCACAAGCATCTCCTTTAGACTCCTAGGGCTTCCTGTGGAGAGGAGAATAAACTGAGGGGGAAGGGGAGAGAAAAAAGAAAACAAAAAGAAGATCCACAGTTCTTCTCTGCCATATACTTGACACAGGAACCCCAATTACTTTCTGGAGAATAAAATTAATATGGAGTAGCCTGTGGGGAGGCTATAACTAGGAGATAATGACTATTAAAGTCGAAAAGGTCTATTATAATGTAATAACAATACTGCAATTTAAAATGTTGTTCACAACCCAAATTTGTAGGGATCTTCCATATTTATACATTTATAATGTTTTTCATTATAAGCATACTGATGCAGTCGTATTTAGCACATTTTCAGAGCTGGAATTCTGATTTTCCTGTCCATGTGTCCTAGCTAACTAAGGGACTTCTTTATCCCCAATTTTAAATTTTCAGACTCGGCAAGGGGGCTGGGGTTGGGGGGTGGGTTGGGAGAGGGTGTCAAAATACCACTTATTTTCAATTTTTTTCCATCTATACCAATATACCCCAAAGTTCTAGCCTGGGTTGCTGTGCTCCTGGGGGATTGAGCCCCACTATATGAAGGCTACAAAAGGTCAGGAATGCTTGGGATCTCAAAAACTCCTAAAACAAGAAACCTTTATACCTACTGTATAAATAAGAGAAAAAGTATTGTAGGTGGTATGTACCTGAAATCCCTGGCTGGGGATCCTGGTTCCCCAGATTAGCCCCACCCCACCACACTTCCCGACTCAGAGCTATGCTATGCTGTTCCTGTAGCCAACTTTTAGTTAATATTCATATATTTAATTGCGTGTGGTCACTACTTGGACTCACTTTCCTAGCTTGGATCCCTCGGCACATATCTCTATTAATGAATTACTTTTTATACTTTGAAGTTTTATTTTGTGAATTTTTTACTTGGTGACTTTTTATTAAAATTAATTTAAAATTTATTAATTTACTTTTTTTAATGTTTGTATATATTTTACATAATGAATTACTCAGTTACTTCTTGTTTCAAAATCTCTCCCTCCCTCTCTCCCTCCCTTCCTTCCTTCATTCCTTCCTTTCTCTCTCTCTCTCTTTTCTTTTTCTTTTTCTTTTTTATTGCCAACGGGCTCCCTGCGTTAGATTATTCCAAAAGTATACCGAACGGCAACTGATTAACACTCGTGTAACCACAGGGATCCCAATTCAGATTAAAGTAATTGTGAAAATAAAATCGGAAAATCTAAGTATATAAATATATTTTTATATTCGAGTTCAATTCGAGAATTTTGACTTCGAATTAAAAAAAAATTCTATTTAGTTTTTCCGATTTTATTTTAACCATTCACTTTAATGTAAATTGGTCTCCCTATGGCGTAACTAAGCCGAAATCGTTCCGAATCGTTCCGAGTTGGAGCCGATCGGAGACATCAAAACAAACGTCAAATTAAAAGAGAAGCTAAAACGTAGTTTGAGCAAGACGTCTCCATTTTCTTTTGTTTGCGGAAGTAAAATTCGAACATCACCATGGCTTATCGAGCAATGGGGATCCGAGTACTCGGAGTAACGCAGTTTATTGTGGGAATTCTCATGATTCTACTGGCCATCGCTAGTTATGCGGCACTTCACCACTGGATTTCGTATGTTTCCTGTGGAATATGGGTTGGGATATGGGTAAGTACTGTTCGCTCGTTAAACCTCGCGAAGAGGTCGAAAGAATATCCTTATTTTTGTCGATACATCGTTATAAGATTGCCGACAAACAAAAGTTTGAGATATACTATACTCTCTTAGTCCATTTTAATCGGCCGTGCGAAAGGTTTTTCGAGCAATTTTTAGGCCAAAATTTTAATCATGTTGTTGCAAAGGTACCGCTAGTTTCGCCCCGTTGCACTTTCGACCCGGTAATATTCGACCCGCAATACAATCAAGTTCGACCCGTTACATGCCTTATACATAAACCTCCGCTCTTTCAATCACTAATACTTTCTTTTTTTTTCGTCGAGTTTTTTCGATTGTCCATGTAGTTATATTTTTCCTGAAACTTGAAGTAATTTCAATGAGAAATAGTAAGTAAATACTCGTTCAGTTCTGCCTACACGGTCAGCGTGTTCACAAAGGTTCGTTCACAAAATGGGTAAATATATTTAAATAGCAGACTTCTACATCATTTGAAAACACATCTCAACCTCATGATAAGTGTCATATCCTGTCTATGGATGACGTCATGATTCTACATACGGGACATGACAGAGAGGATTGAGTGTAATGGCGGACCGCCATGTGTTCCTTGTTGTGTTAAATGAAAGCAGTAGTTAATCCTTATTTTCGACTCTAAGTTACAACATAAATTGGCGACGAGGACGGGATCCGAAGAGGAACCAGGGTAGTGATCTGTAAGGGAAATTACAGCGCTAAGGAATTTAAAATCCAGAGGAAATTCGTCGAGGGAAGTCATGGCGGCGGTGTACGGTAGCCTAAACAAGTTCGATCCCAACGCACAGACATGGGAGGATTATATCGAAGTAATGGGCCATTATTTCAGAGCCAACGACATCAAGGATGAAGATAAAAAGAGGGCTATATTGCTGRCAACAGCAGGAGAAAAAACCTACGCCTTGATAAAAAGTCTTTGTCATCCAACATCTCCTGCCGAGAAGTCATTCAAGGAAATAGTCAAACTGGTCCAGGACCATCGCACGCCGAAACCGTCAGAGATTGTACAGAGGTACAAGTTTCACACTCGGATGAGGAAAGAAGGGGAAACAGTACACGAATATGTGGCAGAATTGCGAAGCCTGAGTAAGTACTGTAATTTCGGTGATACCCTTAATACCATGTTGAGAGACAAACTAGTAGTGGGGGTGAATGATGACCAGATCCAAAAGAAACTCCTGGGGGAGACAACTCTATCCTTCGAAAAGGCCATGAGCATAGCTATAGCTATGGAGACCACRAGCAGAGATTTACAGGAGTTACATAAGGTTAGCCTTAATACCCCAGGTGCTACCCCAAGTGTTAATGTCAATAAAATGTATGGTAGGGGTGCCAAAGGTCAGGATTCTCCTCAAGGCAAGAAAGAAAAACCTAGTAGTAGAGATGAGAAATCAAGTAAAGAATGTTTCCGGTGTGGGGGCTCACATCCCCYCTTTAAATGCCCATTTAAGAATGAACAGTGTTTTTCCTGTAAAAGGAGGGGGCACACAAAGGCCATGTGTCGGGAGAGACACAGATCCAGGAACTGTAACCTAGTAGAAGAAGATGACCTAGARTTTGAGGACCCAGGAATTGAGRAAAACATGAATCACATTAGTGATACCAAGGGGAAACCCATCATAGTTGTGGTAGAAGTGAAGGGAAATGCAACCCCTTTTGCACCCTTGGAGTTTGAGCTAGACACTGGGTGCCCGGTCACCTTGATAGATGAAGAAACAATCAAGGGCATGTTTGGAGGGAAGGTACCTAAATTACAGCCATCGCCATTAAGGCTCAAGTCGTACACAGGTCAGAGAGTAAAGGTATTGGGAACAGTTGCCCTAGAGCTAAAGTACAATGGTCAAGTAAGAAAAGCAGAAGTTCATGTTACCAAGGGGGGAGGCCCACTGCTTTTAGGAAGAGACATTATACAGGGTCTTTCAGTCATGACTGTGAACCAGATAAAAGAACARCCCTTGCCAGAATCCCTAGGAGGGGTATTAAAAAAACATGGTGACCTCTTCAAGGAGGAACTGGGTACCATAAAAGGGGTTACTGCTAAGATAAATGTGGACCCCACTGCCATGCCCAAGTTTTTCAAACCCAGGTCCTTGCCCTATGCAATGAAGGGGAAGGTAGAGGCCGAAATTGACAGGCTTGTGTCAACAGRCATCCTCAAACCAGTCCAGTTTTCTGACTGGGCTGCCCCAGTGGTTCCTGTGTTAAAGCCAGATGGGTCCATAAGGTTGTGCGGGGACTATAAGGTTACAGTAAACCAAGCCTCAAAGCTTGATCAGTTCCCACTTCCCACGTTTGATGATATCGCAGCCAAATTGGCTGGAGGGCAGAAAWTTTCCAAGTTAGATCTAAGCCATGCTTATCAACAGTTACTGTTAAATGAAGAGTCATCACAGTACGTAACAATCAATACCCATCGAGGATTGTTCACCTATACCCGACTTCCTTTTGGGGTGTCCAGTGCCCCAGCCATATTCCAGAGGACCATTGAGGGTATCCKACGAGGAATTCCCCGGGTGGCAGTCTACATTGAKGATATCTTGGTCACAGGAGCCAATGATGCAGAACATTTGCAAATCCTAGAACAAGTGTTATTCAAGCTGGAGGAAGCAGGCTYAAGRCTAAAGGAAAGTAAGTGTGTTTACCTGGCTGAGAGTGTCACATACCTTGGTCATGTGATAGACGCACAGGGAATCCACCCTGTGAAAGACAAGGTGCAAGCACTGACAGAAGCAAGGGCACCTAATGATGTCTCTGAGCTGAAAGCCTACTTGGGACTGCTGAACTACTACAATCGGTTCCTACCGAGGTTAGCAACCACCCTAGCACCGTTGCATAAGTTATTGCGAAGCGAGGAACTTTGGAAATGGGGAAGGGAACAACAGGAGAGTTTTGAGAAGTCTAAGGAGCTGATCATGTCTGCAGATGTGTTAGTCCATTATGACCCAGATCAAGAGCTTGTATTACAGTGCGATGCTTCCCCTTACGGCGTCRGAGCGGTGCTGTCACACCGCATGGCTGACGGTGCTGATAAACCTATCGCATTTGCATCCAGAACCCTTAACRCAGCTGAGAAGAACTACTCACAATTAGATCGAGAAGGACTGGGCGTCATATTCGGCCTGAAGAAATTCCACAAGTATTTGTATGGACGCCATTTTAGGATCTTGACAGACCACAAGCCCCTCGAGACATTGTTCAATGAAAAAAAGCAGGTGCCAACCACCGCCTCACCAAGAGTCCAAAGATGGGCTGTGACCCTAAGAGGTTATGAYTACACCATCCAGTACYGAGCGGGAAAAGAGAACGGAAATGCGGATGCTTTCAGCAGATTACCCTTACCAGTAAGTCGGCAAGTGCAGGAAGAGGACAGAGTACTTCTCATTCAAGAGCTGGAGGGGTTCCCCTTAACAGCGGAGCAGATACGTACCTGGACCCAACGTGACCCGGTGCTAGCACATGTAAAGGAATACCTTTTACGAGGATGGCCTGACGATAGCACCTTGGATGATCCATTGATGAGGCCATACCAGACAAAGAMGTTGGAGTTGAGCGTGCACGAGGGATGTGTGCTTTGGGGTGCGCGAGTCGTGATTCCRCCAGTAGGGAGAGAGCAGGTGTTGAAGGAGCTGCATCAAGCACATCCAGGTATTAACCGTATGAAAGGATTAGCACRTAGCTATGTGTGGTGGCCGTCTATGGATAAGGACTTAGAGAACTTAGTCCAACAATGTGAAACCTGTCAAGTACACCGTAAGGCACYGGCGGCAGCTCCCTTGCACCCCTGGGAGTGGCCGGACCAACCATGGAAACGACTACACATGGATTACGCAGGTCCATTTATGGGCCAAATGTTCTTGGTTGTTGTTGATGCCCATTCCAAATGGATTAATGCAGAGATTATGAGCTCCACTACCTCGGCTGCCACCATATCTAAGCTTCGGGCGATGTTTGCAACTCACGGGCTACCGGAGGTGGTCGTCTCTGATAACGGGTCTAACTTCACTAGTCAAGAGATGGAGGAATTCTTGACTCAGAACGGTATAGTGCATGTCACGTCCGCACCTTACCATCCCGCAACTAATGGCTTAGCCGAAAGAGCAGTACAGACCATAAAGGAAGGACTAAAGAAAGTGCGAGGAGATAGCATTGAGACTCGACTTCAGAAGTTGTTATTCAACTACAGGATAACACCTCAGACAACAACTGGGAAGTCTCCAGCGGAAGCATTGATGGGACGCAAGTTGCGATGTAGACTAGACTTGCTACATCCAAACCTACAAGGAAAGGTTCAACAAAAACAGAGCAAGATGAAGGAAGTACATGACCGTCAAGCCCACCCACGCGTGTTCACRGTTGGCAACCCAGTGTATGTCCGGAATTTTGGAAGCGGGTTACGCTGGATCCCCGGGGTAATTCAGGAAACTACAGGCCCGTTGTCCTACACAGTTACCCTAGTGGATGGCCRGGGAGTACGCAGACACATAGACCATGTGCGTAGTCGGCATCCCGAGAAAGCCACCGGATCGCCTCCACAGGGGGACTCGGTGGTTATAACCCAAGAGGTTGTCAAGGATGGAGAACAGAAGGTGATAGAAGAAGAAGGACAGGATAACCATGTCATGCTGCAGTCACCAAGGGATGTTGTCACTCTAGCTACAGAGCCCCTTCCAAGCAACGTCGAAGAGCGGCCTACCACAAGTTGTGATGCGGTTGCCTGTACAGGGGCGGTAGCTGTGCCACATGAACGATACCCCAGAAGAGAGAGAAGGCAGCCAGCATACCTACGGGATTATGAACAATAGGACTGGGAAGATAAAAGACAGTGACATTGTAGTTTGTTGTTTTTGTTTGGGTTTGGGCATGGCATCGAGCCTGAGGGGGAGGGAGTGTCATATCCTGTCTATGGATGACGTCATGATTCTACATACGGGACATGACAGAGAGGATTGAGTGTAATGGCGGACCGCCATGTGTTCCTTG